TATAGAACTAACAATAGCAGACACAGACAGACAGATAGATAGATAGATAGATAGATATTTGATACAAAATACAGCATAAATAGATATTGTGAAATATTTTTTTAACAATTTAAAAGAACTGTTTTCCATTTTAATATATTTTAAAAATTAAATGTATTTCTGTGATGGCAAAGATGAATTTTCAGCAGATATTACGCCAGTCTTCAGTGTCACATGATCCTTCATAAATAATTTTAATATGCTGATTTGCTGCTCAAGAAACATGTATTATTATTATTATTATTATCATCATCATCATTATTTGTGGTTTTATTTTCTTTTTTAAATTTTTTCAGGATTCTTTTAAAAGAATAGCATTTATAGCAAAAGAACAGCATTTGCCTGAAATAGAAAGCTTGTGTAGCATTATACACTCTTGTTCAAAAGTTAAACGTTAAACGTTAAAAGTTGAAAGAAATTAATTAAATTAATGATTTTATTTAGCAAGGATGCATTACATTTATTAAAAGTGACAGTATAAAAATAAAGCTGTCTATTTCAGTTAAATGCTATTCTTTTGGACGTTCTACTTATCAAAGAAACTTAAAAAAATGTACACAGCTGTTTTTAACATTGATATAGGAGGCAGATGGGAAATCTGCTTACCATCAGACAGGAAGTATTCCACCTCTCCATTGATGCCCTCATCACCATCTCTGGCTTGAAGCTTGTAGACTAGAGTGCTTGGTGGGGCATTAGCAGAGACCACACTCAGGTAGGGGAATGGGACCATCGTCCATTCTGGAGCATTATCATTGACATCCATCACCGTCAAATCCACTCTCACCGTATACCAGTCAGGACCTGTAAATATAGAGATTTCCACACTCAAACTTTACTGAGAAATGTCTTTAATCATGAATGTAACAAATCAAATAAAAACCAGAGAAGGCGAAGAAGAAAAAAAGCCATTTAAAAATAGCTGGAGTAGTTTATTTGAATTGCCGGTTTTGTTTGGTATCTTCAGTTTGTGACACAGGACACAAAGCATAAGACCCTGCATTGGCCCTGCATGACTGTGTCATGATATGGGTTTCTTCACAGCACGTCCTCAGAGCAGTTTCAGAAACTACATTTTGAGATTTGATGTTTATTTTTCACAAAAAACGTAAGCTACAAAACATCACAGATGCAGAGACACATTTACATGCAAGTTGGAGAGTATGGCAGATACTAATGAGTGGAGTGTTTTCCTCATGGCAGCGCTTGCTACGTTTAGCTGCTGCGTCGCCTCATTAAACATTCCTTCTTTATCACAATCGTCGCCTTGCAAAGCGACAGAACTAAAGACAGTTTCAGCACACATTTATGGACGACATGGTATCATCATGGAAATGCATGAGCGAAAAAAGCTAAAGGCCAAAAAGAAAGAAAACCGTGTCAGCCGTAAAACAGAAACAACACGCCGGTGTCTTCTCCCCTTTCTGTTACTTTCCACACTCGTTCAATCGCCCCTTCAAAAGCATCTCCCCATTTCCATTTATTTCTTTTTTTCCTCTTTCTAATGAAATTCCTCCCTTGCTCTCACTTTTTCCCTGAGAGAGGTATAAATAGTGGGCTGTCTGTCAGAAGGTGTGTGGAGTGACAGAGTCACGGGCTCTTTGATTCCCCAGGTGATTGGCCCTTTCATTGCCTGTGACAGCACACCTGCTGCCTTACACTCTGCTGGGGAGACACAGAAGAGCAGCAAGAGAGAGAAAGAGAGAAAGATAGAACGAGAGAAGTGGGAGTTAGTGGGGGAGGCTTAGAAAAAGATTAACTTAAGCTCTAGGTTTGGATCAATACAAAATGATTATTAATAATAGATTAATAGATAGAGGAGGTGGGCAAGAGAGAGCCATATTAAGATCGATATATATATATAAGAACGAGAGAGGAGTTAGTGGGGGAGGCTTAGAAAAAGATTAACTTAAGCTCTAGGTTTGGATCAATACAAAATGATTATTAATAATAGATTAATAGATAGAGGAGGTGGGCAAGAGAGAGCCATATTAAGATCGATATATATATATAAAGAGAGAGAGAGAGAGAGTGAGGGCACAGAAAGAGAAAGCAAATCCCTCAGGTGTGTCAGGAGTGTGTCTCAGCTATAGTCCAAGCTCATAACAGGCTATAAGGTTACTCCATTTGTTGAATACAGCAAAAGCTGCTCATAACAAAACACACCGTTGACTCAACCACATCCAGAGCAGTGTTCAAACTTATGCACAGGTCATTATTTACAAGGACACAATAGCAAATAGATTTTTTGCCACCAAAATCTAGCAGTTTGACTTATTGAGTGGGTGGCATGGCCACAATCGTATATCACAGTAACAGTATATGTCACAATATAGTTATTTTTGCTAGACTTTCAACATATATTACATAACTATACATCAACAACCATGAGTAAAGACTGTTCCTACACTGTGGTAAGCTTATGTTATTACCTCAATGAGTCTTTTTATACTTTAAATAACCCTTAAATTTAGTTTTGTTGGATACATTTAGTTTGATTTAATGAAGGTAAATCATTATTTTGACTTGTGTAAAATGAATTAATGTTTGTAAAAAGTAAACCCTTTTTTAGTGTTTAATAACTGTTAAAAAAGGAAGGGAAAAAAACTATTTTGCTTTAGCTTGTGTACTACAAATATTGTTGG